TAGTACTACAGACCCTGCAGACACCTACAATATATAATACAGGAATGCTAAGGTTTGAATATTTGTCCCCTCCAAAACTCATTTTGAAATTTAACCCCCAAAGTATTGAGAAGTGGAGCCTTTATGAGATGATTGGGTCATGAAGGTTCCATCAATCCATTCGTGGATTTATGGGTTATCATGGGAGTGGGACTGCTGGTTTTCTAAGAAGAGGAAGACTGCACACTCAGCCCCCTTGTCTTGTGATACTCTACATCCCCTTGGGACTCTATAAGTCCCCAACAGCAAGAGGACTCTTACCAGATGTAGCCCCTTGACCTTGAATTTTTCAGCCTCCTTAACTGCAAGAAATAAGTTCCTTTTCTTTATAAGTTACCCAGTTTGGGGTATTCTGTTATAAGCAACAGAAAACAAAGACAGGGAATACCACAAATAACTTTACACATATAAATCTGACAACTTAAGGTGAAATGGTTCATTCCTCAAAAAACACAACCATAACTCACACAATATGCAAGAGGTTATTTGAATAGCCCTGTAACTTTTAAGAAAACTGTCATTTAAAAATTTCAAAAGAGGCTGGGCACAGTGGGTCACACCTACAATCCCAGCACTTGGGAAGTCTGGGGCAGGAGGACTGCCTGAGTTCGGAAGTTTGAGACCAGCCTAGGCAACACAGCAAGACCTCATTGCTACAAAAATCAAAAAATTAGCCAGGCATAGTGGTGCATGCCTGCAGACCCAGCTACTTGGGAGGCTGAGGTGGGAGGACTGCCTGAGCCCAGGAGTTGGAGGCTGCAGTGAGCTGTGATTATGCTGATCACACCACTGCATTCCAGCCTGGGCCACAGAGCGAGACCCTGACTCAAAAACAAAACAAAACAAAAACAACTTAGAAGGAAGGGTGAGAGAGAAAGAGAGAGAGAGAGGGAGGAGAGAGAAAGGGAGGGAGGGAAGGAACCTCCAGGTCAAAATGGCTTCATCAGGGAATTCTACCATTTAATAAAGAATTAACAATAAATCTGCACAATCTCTTTTAGAAAAAGAGAAGGAATCATTTTTCAATGAACTTTATGAAGCTAGTATTACCCTGATACCAAAACCAAAGACATTAAGAACATTAAAAAAAATCTACAGGCCAATTTCCCCCATGAATATAGACACAAAAATCTAAAACAAAATATCAGGAAATATAATTTAGCAGTATGTAAAAATAAATTATACATCTTGACAAAGTCGGGTTTATTCTAGGGATAGAAGGGTGGCTCATTATTTGAAAATCAATTCTATTTGCCAAATGTAAATATGACAAAGGTGTAACATCCAGGATCGACAAGGAACTCAAACATGCCAAAAGGAAAAAAACAAACAACCCTATTAGAAAATCGGTGAAAGATATGAATAGACACTTCTCAGAAGAAGAAATACAAGTAGCCAGCAGATACATGAAAAACTGCTCAGCTTTACTAATCGTCAAAGAAGTACAAATTAAAATTACACTGAGCTGGGCTCGGTGGCTCAGTCTGTAATTCTGCACCTTTGGGAGGCTGAGGTGAGTGGATTGCCTGAGCCCGTGGGTTCGAGACGTGCCTGGGCAGGCAAGACCTCATCTCCACAATAAATCAAAAATTAGCCAGGCGTAGTAGCGCACACCTGTAGTTCCAGCTACTTGGAAGGCTGAG